TAAATTAAATAAATAGAAATCCATGGATAATAATTTACTTAATTTTGTAAAATAAATAAATTATTTATTTATTGTAATAAAATAAATAAGTAACTATTCATTTATTATTGGGACATGACTGGTCCAAGTTATCTAGAACCAAACCTGACCCATTGACAACCCTAAATATTGGGTGCATGTGGAATTAAATAAATAAAAATTATGGATAATAATATATTTAATTTAATAAAATAAAATAATAAATAAATAATTAAAATTTTTATTTTTGAAGTCAATTTAATATAAATAAATCATTTATGTTGTTAAATAAAGAATACAATTTTTTTTTCTCAATTTTTTGGTCGAGCTTTAGGCTTTATATGGGGGTTGGGCTTGGGCTCAAGATCTAGGCCCGATGGTCAGGTTATGCTCAAACTTGGACTTGAATATGTTCAATTGATATAAAGGCAAGTGAATAAGTTTAATCCCAACCCTAGGGGTGGAGCCAAGGGGACGCAGGGAAGCCATGACCCCCCATTCCATGTACATTTTGGCCCCCCTCATAAATATTGGGCTCAAACCTACCTATTGATAGCCCTAAATATAGGATTGTCAATGAGTCGGGTCTAGGTCGAAACTAGTTAGAACCGAAACCGACCTAACATGAAATGTTAAGGACCTAGACTAGATAGGGTTTGTAATTTTTGGACCAGAACGGAATCGATCAATTCTCGAGACAATCGGGTCAGACCTGACAGACCCGATTATAATAAATAAAAAATAAATATTTATGTATAATATATATTAAATATTCTATATATATTATGTATAGTATATATATAATTTATTTATTTAATATATTATACATTATGTATAATATATATTAAATATTCTATATATATTATATGTATAGTATATATAATTTATTTATTTAATATGTTATACATTATATATATATATATATATATATATATATATATATATATATATATATTCTAAATTGATAGTAATTGGGACCTTATATCAAGACTTAGAATCGACCCATTGGTTCTAGTTCCTAGAAATAGAACCCGCCCAATAGGTTCGGGTTCATCAGGTTCGTCGGTTTGAACCCATCCCATTGACAATCCTACCTAAATATTGGGTTCAAGGGGAGAGAATAATTTGTTAGTAAATTATTTCTAAATAAATAAATAATTTAGTAAAATAAATAAATAATAAATGTCTATTAAAATCTTTCTCTCAATGCCAAATATCCTTTATTTTATTGATTCATAAATAATTTATTTAATTTTATTAACTAAATAAATGCTTAAAAAATAATGATAGAATTAATTTAATAAAATAAATAAATAAATAAATTGATGAGGGCGGATTTGGCACTCCACTGACTTGGTGACACATGGCACTTTGGAACAACAAC